ACCTTCATTGTTGACTTCCTGTTCGTAGTTCTTTCGTTTGTTTGAAGTATCTCTTTCATTCATACGTTTAAAGATGGCTGCAAATGAGGGTAAACGTTTTGACTTTTTATTGTCAGCATTGTTGGTGGTGGCACTTTCATTATTCACTGGGGCATTTGCATCCAATTCCGATACAGCGGCTGTGGTTGCAGTTGTTGCTGTCGATGTTGCCTTAACGTCAGCACTTTCAGTGTCACTACTGTATGATGGACGGCGATGACGACGACGAACGGTTGGCGTTGGCGATGGTGATGATGGTTGAGGTGGTTTTGGTGGTACGTATGATTGTGAAGTGAAGTGAAGGAGGGAGTTTTTTATTTATTAGAAAATCAAGATGATTCAGGTGTAAGTGATGAATTGTTTTTTTTTTATTTGTATTTGTTTTATATATTTTTGTTTTTTTTAGGTTTGTTTTATTGTATATTTTGTTTTGTTTATTGGTTTTTTACAAATTTATATGTATTGAATTTGGTTTTAGTTAAAGTATGTTTTTTATTGGTTTTTTGTTTACAAGAAGTTAACAAAAATAAAATTGTTTAAATTAAAGTATATATAAGAAAAAAGTAAAAAAATAAAACAACTCACAACAATTACCATTTATGTATGTATGTACGTAATAATATAGTAATAATAATAATAGTAGTAGTAGTATGTGTGTGTTAGTAAAAATACAATAGTTTTAGTGTTGTAAATTTGTAAATATATAAAAAAATGTATAAATTTATTTATACTTATGCAATTAAATAATTTAATTGCATTTACGAGGGTTGTTGCACAATGGGTTTAAAATATTTATTTCTTTAAAAGACCGAGTTCAATTAAGTTATATATTGATTTTGTCCAAAAGCAACACGATACTTATTAATTGTTTAATACTTCCATTAATAATAAATAAATGTTTTAGGGGATTTATTAAAAACGTCCAAAAGACATAAAAAAGAATAAGAAATTGTACTTTGTTGAACTGAATTATGCTGGTATTGGGTTTTTACCACCTTGTTGCATCTCAATTGAAACTTATCACACAACTCTCGCATATTAGTTTCTTTATTTATAATAGAAATTTAAAATTTTTGTTTGTTGTTTTTGGTGCAACAATATTTTTATTTTTAATTACATTCTGTATGTGTCGTTTGTATCGCCCTGTGTCCCATAGTGCTTACATAAACAGAAACAAATAGTTTTATTTATTTGAGTATTGTACATAGAAACTACTGCATTAATATTTTTTAACGCTTAATGCAATGAAAAATTATTTAATTTTTTCACTATGATTGAAACGTTTTTTACCAGAATTTCGTTAGTGTTAAACTGTTTTTAATCCTTTAGTGCAGAAGTGATTGTGGTAGCTTGTTCATAGTATTTTTTTTTTTTTTTTTTAATAAATTGTTTATCGTATTTAAATTTTTTAATGGTTAAATTTAATACATGTGTTGTGGTTTTATGCCTGTGAAAATGTTTAATGTAGTGGGTTTCTTTTGAAGAGGCAGTATTGAGTTCATTATAGAGATTGCTATAAAGATCATATGAAAATGGAAATGAATGAAATTCTTAGAATTCTTAATAAATGGATCGATTGTCATTGAGGTAAACATTTTAAATGTGTTACGGTTTACGTTACCGAATAAAAATCAAAAATTGTACACGAACTTTTATATGCGATTTCGAATTTTCATGCGAGAATTGTGGGATAAGTCGATTAATAGCTGAAATGAGTAAAATCAGTCTCAACTTTTTTCAAATAAATGAGAAACCTCTGCATCAAAAACATCTAACAGGAATGGAAATTTCCGCAATATTTTACTTCTTTCAGTACTTTTTGGCATCACAAATCTGCAGGACAAAAACACTTCACGACCTGACCTGTTAAACATTTCTTCTATAATTGACCAAGCTATACTTTTCTTAACAGACTATTTGTCGATTATAAATGGCAACCGTAACCTTAGAAAACAAAACAATGTTTTCCGTTTGCAAGTGACTCAAGTCAAGGAAATCTCATTACTTAAATAACGTCTCAATAACCACATCTCTAATTTCATTTTGGCAACTGGCAACAGAACTGGAATGCCAGCTGAGATAATTAATCAACACATTAGACTAGTCCCCATAGTAGTTACAGACTAGACTAGTCTATAGACAATGGACTTGGTTGGTTATCATGTTATTTCCCAGCAGTCAAATAGAGTTCAAGAGACTTCATTTTGATTGGACTACTCGACTCAATTGTATTATAGTCCAGCCTGTAGCCTTAAGAAATTTTAGGATGTCATTAAGGTTTAATATGAAGAAATTGCCCGTCTAAGGCAGGGAATTCGGAAAGAAGATGGAAGACTGCCTCTTCCTTTTCATTTTCTTTGCAACTGCGACAATATTCATTGAAGGAGAGCCCCAGTCGACTTCCAGTTATTATTGCTATAAAACTTGATATAACGGGTTAGAGTTGTCATGTGCATGTCCCATTGAATAAAGACCACAATAACTTGGCCCTTCTACATGCGCCTAGATTATTCCATCTTATTGAGGAAAGAACCTGAGAATACCGCTTTTAATAAAAAATAACTGTTCTAGCTAGCTCATCTGCCTGTTCATTTAATTGACAGACAGACGACCCAGCCTTGACAGATCTTTCATGAATTGTCTGACTAATAGAGAAGTGTAGTCCGAAAAACAGTACAGTTGTTGGAAAGACGGTATGAGATACTTTTACCAGAAGTCATCAGAAGCAACACCACAATTCATTTTAGAACCATATGTAAAGATTCTAGTGGTATATTCTTACACCATTCATTCCTGGAAGGAATTATGATTTTGAAATAATCACAAAATAGTCCATCGAATAGTCTATAGAATACTACATACTAGTTCATAGATCGGTCATACAATTGTCCAAGACTAAACCATAGACTGACAACTCCATTTTTTAGTCAACAGATTAAATAGTCTCTTCCCAAGAATAGTCCATAGACTAGATGAACTAGTCCATAACATTGTCCATTTACTAATTCTTCACAAAAGCCGATAGACTAGTCTATATACTAGTATTAAGAATTATATATAGAATAGTCTAATGAATAGTATATAGAACAGTCCATTCAATAGTCTATAGATTAGTCCATATAATAGCCCATAGACTAATCCATTGAACAATCTGACCTAGTGCATAGAATAATCTATAGACTAGTCTATAGACCAGTCCATACAATAATCTATAGTCAATTCCATAAAATAACATTTTATTACACTGTTTCATATTGGTTCTGAATGAATGAGAGCCCTTCTGTAAAAAGGACTCGACGGGTGGATCATTTGCGACGGGTAGTCATCTTGACGTGATGCAGAAGCTTAAGTGCAATGGTTAGCATTTTGGCTGGTTGGCTATTTCTAATAGGGTCACCTATTCCAGAAGCGTCTGCATTGAGCGTGAAACTAAGAACTACCCTGATAGCTTTTGTTTCCCTTTAGGGCGGCTTTAAGACGATTTCCTTGACTATTCTATCTTCATTGGAGGATGGTTCAAATCGGAACCATACACTTAAGTGAGTTTTGTCCGTCCGAATCCAGCAGCGTATGTTATATATTGGGCGGCATCTGGTTTTTCCTGAGGGACGGCAGTTTAACCTCACCTAGCAGCTGGTTAAAACTGCAATTTGTCACTAAGACACTAATGGAAGGAAAGGAAGAAGCATGCTCCGCTTACCCGGTAAGGGGCTTCATATTTTTCGGTGACCCTACTCTCACAGAATCGGTAATGGGCTGTGTAAGTCTAGTGTTAACGTTACCCTGACTAGTCAAGCTACCCAGACTGGCTGAATGTTCAAAATTAAAAATTAACCGTAGTTGTTCCACAAATGATGTGCTTTCGAGACCAATTAATTGAGACAATTTCAGAAAATCAATAGTATATAATAACATATGGTCGGACATGCTTGGCTATAATTTCTTTATAGGTTTTCAAGTAAATAATAAAATAAAAAAAAATAATCTTAATTATTTACAACACAACTTATTACAGTGAGCTTTCAACCAAAACCTTCCCTGATTAGTGTAATTATTAAAAATTTTAATAACATTTTTCAGCTACAAAATAATTTATATTTATTTAAACTTTTAACGGGTGACATTTATTATTAAAAAAAAAAAATAATGAAAACAACTATAAAATAACAACATTAACCAATTTGTTGAATTCATATAATTAATTATAGTTTATTTACATATATCAATATTATTTAATGTTACAGTAAAGTAATGAGTAATTTATTTGTCATAAATTATATTTTTGATATAAAAATTTTATGCAATAATTTATTAAATACTTTTGTCTTCTACTTGGTTAATACAAATTAATTAAAGAATTGTTTATTTTGCCTGGATAAAACAATATGTATATTAACAAGTTAATAATAATAATAAAAAAAATTAATTAAAAAGTCAGCATTGTATATAAAAACAAACAAACAATATTGTATTCTCCATATAAAATTGTTACAAACAATTTATGAAAAGAACAAAATAATCAATTACTGTTATTTATAATTTCGTATATGAAAAAAAAATATTTAAAATTAAAACTATATGTTGATAATTGTTTAAAACCAAAGTAAATGTAATAAAATCAATATTTTAAAATATATAAAAGAAATACATGTAATGTAATTATTTTGATGTATAGTTAAAGTTACATCTATATTAAATAAAATAAAATGTTTAAATAAATTAATATTTGCAAATGGTGTTAATAAAATAAAATAAAAAAATTAAATTAATGCATTCATACATTGTACATAGATATGTTATTTAATATTTTATTTTTCCTTATTTATGTAATGAAATGTATTTTTTTTTTAATAACAAATGTGTTAATAAGGCACTTGAGTTAAATATAAATAAAATATATGTAAATATAATAATTTTACTTAATTTTTTAAAACAAAGCAAGGGTTAACCATTTTTGTGGTTAATAATAAAATATTTAACTATATAGTTTAATTTAAAGTTTAAAGTGTTTAAACCATTTTAACCATTCATGTGGTTAACAATAAAATATTTAACTGCAGTTAAACGCAAAGTTTAAATTTGTTAAAAAAGTATCATTAATATAACAAACTGCTTGTTTAAATATAAGTTTTATTTATAGTTTAATGCAATTTTCCATTATTTTTAGTTTTAACCACAGTTTAACTTTTTTTTAATCTTTTATTATTAACTATGCGTTATTTTTTATTTAAGTAAAATAACCTTTAACTTAACTTTTTAAGTGGAAGACATTTTTTTAATAAAAGTAATTAATAATTTCACTTTTTTGCTGAGTTAACCTTTCCTTTGTTTGGTTTAAAAAAAAAAATATGTTAACATTTATTAAATTAATTTAATTTCATTAATTCGCTTAATTGCCTTGTTTTTAAACACTGCATATGTAATTAAATTAACATTCGTAGTCATTTTAACAGATAATTACAGTTAATTTAGCAGTCTTGTTATGACGCCATTTTGTTTTCGTTTTTTTTCCATTTTAATTAAACTTAAACCAGTGCTAAAAAGGTTTTTAAAACTATTAATTTAAACACACAATTGAAAAATTTTTAATTATTTTATTATTAAATAAAATAAATGTCATTTTATTTTCTTCAAAATACGATGATATCAAAGGGGATACTTTTATAGTGTAAGTAACTAGGGGGCAAATTCTGGGCTTCGAAATTTATCGAAATTTCTAATAAAATTTTTTAAAAAAGGTCTTGGCAAGACGAGGTCTTGACTCGAATGACGTGTAAATTGAAATCAATTGAAATTTTCTTCGAAAACAGAAAAAATATTGATATTGCCATTATATGTGCTCCTCAAAAGACAAGTCGTGGAACCCATAATATACTTATTAACTAAGACACTGTAAGTGTTCGTCAGTCTTTCAATGCTCCTGACTGCTGAACACATGGATGTTTCAAAGGTGATAAAGTGTCCTAAATGTGATTAGTTTGTTCGTCCGTTGAGACCAAGAATAATACGACACGTTTTAGTACCTTTTTGTTAGAAAATAGTACTGTTTTCTTCTACAACTAGTACTTTTTGAATTTTCTATAATGTCTAATCAAAGGACACGAAAATTAATCTGTCTTTCAATGCTCCTGACTGCTGAACACGCGGATGTTTCGAAGGAGATAACGTGTCCTAAATGTGATTAGTTTGTTCGTCCGTTAACAATGTCTATTGAGAGCAAGAATAATACAAGGCTTTTTAGTACCTTTTTGTTAGAAAATAGTACTGTTTTCTTTTACAACTAGTACTTTTTGAATTTTCTATAATGTCTAATCAAAGGACACGAAAATGAATCTTCATAGTCGCATTTAAATAACAGTCTCTTAGAGACAATATTTTGTTCATAGTATAATTGTACATTTTGAGTTATTTTTAGAGCAAGAGTCCATGATAAGAAAGTTCCGAAATATTATCTGTTAATTATACATCATTAGTTATATATCAGAACAGAATTAGAGTATATAAACTGGTGTCCAACGGAAGCTTGTGAACTCTACTTTCCTTTATGGTGAAAAACAATTTTAAATGTTTGCATCCAAAGTTAGCTAAACGTAAAATATACAAAAACGCTTGTAGTTATAAATCTATGAGACTATTTGAAAACTTGTTTCTACAGATAGCCGAGTTCCCAACGCTTCCATTGAGTACCATCATCATATACTTTTGTTGGGTTTTAACGGAGTTATAATCGTTTAAATCTTATAGTGTTACAGTGTGTGTGTCGTTCAATATACCTGCTTGTAGATCGTCTGTCAAATGTTTATCTGTTAAGTCAAGAGATAGAGTCCCGAAGAGAGTATATAGGGGAAGATCTTTTAAACAAAATAATCACCATTGGGAAAGTTCCGTATAGAAAATGGGACAAATCGGTAAACGAATCGGATGTAGGGGCATAACCTATGTATATTTCAAAACATTCTCGTTTAATTAGAAATTTTCTGTATACTAAATTGGATAGAACCCATAAGTCTATATAATCGGGGTCATTGTAAATGTCCGTGCGTTCTTCAATCAATCCATTCTTCTGTTGGTGACTCTCAAGATTCCAAGGACATTACTTGGCCTAAAAGAGGATAGTCTAGTTGACCATCAACTATTTGTCTATCAAAGGCTAGATAGTGCTCAGTGGTGAACAGGGGAGAAGATGTAGAACCATTAAAGAAGGTATCCTAAATTTTATGTAATGGGAAGTGGACACTATATATGGAGTCAGGATTGTATGCATCGTTCTTCTGTAGAGTTCGATTCAGAATTGTTTTCAAAACACATACGAACAGGCATATAGTTTTACTGACAGATAGGTAGGTAGACAGACAGACAGACAGTCTGACATCGATATATCGGACTTCATTGGTCATTTACTATAAGACCCATTAGGTCTCCTGGAATAATTAAAACATGGGTAGAACCACAAAGATCCTATGGGTTGACCCTAACGACAGCAGGACGAGAAGTCTCCTCAAAATGAACAAGTCTGGTACGTATGCTGAGTGGACACATAGAATGAAGAGCATGCAGAGAGAGAACAGTGAAACTCTGGAGCACTTTCTTTGCCATTGTCAGGCTTTTGCCGAAATTAGATCCAAATATCTTAGAAGTGATATTATTCTTGATATAACATCCCTCACGAACACTGATTGCAATATTCTTCGGAATTACTTCCAGGAAACTGAGTTTCTGAACGTCGGGCGATAATACATTTAGTGAATACTATATAAGGTTTTTGTTATTACCAACAAAAATATTTCATGAAAAGGAGCGCATAATAGGCCCGGTGAATTTGTTCGGATTTGATGTAGCTAATTCCTCCTATCAACCAAACTTAACCTATTACAAGACTGACATAATCTAAAAAAGGCGCTTCGAGAAAAACGGGTTTTAAAGAAAAGATCGTAATTCAAGCATAATACCAGATGAATAAGAAGTAGATGTTTCTAATCTGAAATTACTAAATTTTTTCCCTATTTTCAATTGTGTGTTTTATATATTAAGTTTTAAACCTCACATACCTACGATAAATTTTCAATCTTATATATTTCTTTCAAAGTACATAACATACTCTTACTTATTTAAGTTACTTAGATTATAGATAATTTTATTTCCTTTAATTTAATACTAATACTTTACTAGATTTCCGTTTCCGTTGGTACGTTACTCTGTTTAATTGCCCCCGCCGTTGTTGCGGCCGTTGTTCTATTATCATTAATTCTGGATGTTGTTGGTGATTGTGTCACTGGTGTTGTCGTTTCTTCAGGCGTTTCGGTAATACGTTTAGGTTCTGGTGTTTTTGGTTTCATACGTTCAGCCATTATTTTAGCTTGTTTCTCTAAGATTTCACGTTGATCTTTAGGTATCCAACGTGAGAAACGTGATTCGGGTATACCCAATTGATTGCCTTTAGTCAAGAGATCCGATTGATCGTGAGCATTATCGGTATCGGAATTTTTCTGAGAATTACGTCCACCGGCCTGAGCCATTACGGAACGTAATGGCATGGTGGTGGGATTATAAACACTACTCTCACGATCTGTGCCATACTCAAAGGAATCATCTTCATTTTCACTATTGCGCAAATTACGTCTTTCCACCTCGTTTTGTTCATGATCATGATTGTAGTTAGTTAACGAAGCATTACCATTAGAAGGTTTATTGCCAATAATGGTGACACCATTTGGAGTTTCCAACAGTGCCACACTTTGACCATGTTGTTGTTTGTCACCACTGATAAAACATTGTTAATATTTGTTGTCAGCATAAATATGAATATTTCAAAATGTTTCCGTTATTTTGAAAATTTTTATCAATTTTATTGATATATATAGTGTTTTTTGTATGGTTATTTCGTAATTATCATGTCATGTTGTATGTAGATTTTGTTTGGGGAATAAATAATAAAGAAAAAAAAACAAAAAAACAATTGTAGAAAAAGGAAGATTAGCACATTAGCTTAGTGCTTATACATGTTGTATGCAGAGTTTTTAATTTAGTTCTAGTTTTGTTTGTTTTAGTAGACTGAATTTGGGACTTAACAGTGACAGTGAGTTTGAAATACTGATATTTATTTTTTTAAGTTGATTTTTATTATTTTTTGAATTTAGATGAACATAAATGATATTGATTGATTTGATTTTTGATTTTGAGCGCATGTGACACAAGTGAAATAGATTTTGTTTGATTTTTGTTGGATTTTAGTTCGATGTAAGCAGTTTTTTTTTCAATTTTGTAACAAAGAGGGAGGATAGACAATCAAATTTTTATTTGTTCGAAACATAAATACACATAGACAAAAATTACGTTAAAATGTATTTTTTGGACGTAGACATTATTGCTAAATAAACTAAGTAAGTACGAGTATATAGACAGTTGGAAACAGTTGGTTATTTGGAAATTAACAATATGCATTCGATTAATGAGGCGCTGACAAAGATGATGAACTAATAAATGTATAAATCTATATGTATGTATGTAATTGTATGTATATTTCGATCAATGTGTATTTGTGTGTTTGTTTTGTATGTGTAAGAGTATTTATAGGTGTTTGGTTATATGTATGTATGTCGATTTGTGCTTATAGTTCGTGTTTCTTTTTTTTTGATAAAATATACTTTAATTTTAATTAAACAATAACTACATTAAATCATGCTTTAACACCACACACTACATGTAAGTAACAAAACAAAAAATTTTCTAACTAAAAATTTATAATGACATGCTAATAATTGCTATTTCAATTTACCATTTTGTTAATAATTGTTAATGTTTGAACGATTAATGGATATCTTTCACCAATTGTTTATGAGCGATAATCGAATATGCTTTTCTTTTTATTTTTTATTTTATTTTTCATAATTTAAGTTATAAGAAATACTTACGTTTCATTGGTTGACATTTTAACCGATTTGCCTGCAAAAACAATAACAAAATTTTAGTTAAGAATTTTATAAAGGTATTATTTAAAAGCCTCGAAAGAGTAAAATTAGAAATAATCATAACATTTATATGTTTTCATAATTTGAATACAAGGATCATTGGGATTTTGTTTATGTCGATGAAGTACCCAAAATCTTTTTTCTTTAAATTTTATGACAATCGGTTTATTATTGACCCTATCCCTCACATAAAGTTTGACTTTAACATTTAACGTTAAAATACCAGTTATAGCAATGAAATGACATAAGTTTTATAGAAACTAAAATCTCTCTGTATGAGAATCGGGCCATATTAGATACATGCTTCCTTTAGAAAATTACTTTAGCACTGATAGCTGGCTTAAAAAAGAATGGATATTAATGAAAATTGTCGTCAAATTTCATGAGGATCGGTAAAAAGAACTGTCCCTACCCCCATATAAGTTCCATTTAGAAACTTCTACTTAAAAATTAAAAATAGTTTAGTGATAAAATTTTATATAAACAAGTTTTTTAGGAATAAAAAATTCTTTACCAAATTCTGTAAGGATCGGTCTCTTTAGCAGAAATTTAATTTATACTCAATAAATCATTGAAAAAATCTATAATTTTTCCCGATTCTACCCATTACTTTAGCAATGACAAAAGAAAACAACAACAACAACGCCAAGCGAAACTAAACATCAAACCAAAATATGCAAAGCAGTGAAACCAATACATATCCAAACATACGTTTTTTTCCAATAAGTATTTATTGATTATATTTTAAAGATAATATCTTCCATCTAATTCACATACATAACATAAACTTAGTTATAAGCCTACAAAAAATGTGGGCGGTACTATCATGACCACGCCCACAATATTTGTTGGTTTTGATCTATATGTTTTGAGAATGCTCTCTTGATCATTGTTTAAAACAAAATTTAATGAAAATCAGCATTAAGGTTAATAAATAAAACTATAATATTTATATTGACCACGCCCACTTTTAAAATTTTAAACAAATACTGAAAAGTGGGCGAAATGTTTGATTTTGGGCATGGTTACCATAAAAATTATATCAGATTAGGGTACAAATTTGTATACATTAGAATAGTATTTTGTAAAATTGCCCCGCATTAATTTTACATACATGCATACATTTTCTACATTAAAAGTAGGCGTGTCTTCATTATAACTACGCCTACTTCTTTAAAGCGTTTTGATCTTATAAGGCTTAATTCAGTTTGTATATTATTAAGTTATTGTTTTTTTTTTTGACTTAAGAATTCCAAAATTAACGCAAACATACGAAGTGGGCGTGGTCATAACATATATCCGTCTCGTTTTTGGTGTGTTTGTTTTAACTGTTATTGTGAACATACATGCCTATAAAAAATGGTTCGAATCCTTCCATTATTTCACCAGAATAGTCGTTTAGACTTTTCAAAGTTCGTCCACTTTTCTGTGGTGAAATATTCATACATTTGCATGTGTACTAGGGTGATCCATGGCCCACATAGCACCATTTCCGTAGATGACAAAAAAGAAACAGTTGTGAAAATCTATCCTGGGAACTTATTTTATTTTTTATTTTTAACCACTAAATTTAATACCATTTTATATAAAAGTAATTCCTGTTGTTTTACCATTAAAGTTGCTTTGAAAACAAATGGCGGCAAGTAGGGTGGACTATTTTCATTAGTCATATAGAAATTTCTAACAATAATGGGAACATCCTAAAATATTTAAGAAAATAAAAAATTAACAATCATATTTATTAAAAGAAATCATTTATACCTTGCGCACTGGACACTCATTGGGAAATTGATTTGCGGCTTTTATTTGATTATAGATAACATAAGTAAAGTTTAAGGCCTTATTTTTAGTGCCACGTAAAAATTCACAACCATTAACACTGGTATTGATAAGAGTCCAGGATTTATGTTTTTTCGGCGCCACCACCGAAACATATAAATCGAATTCATTTACATCTTCACTTAAGATCAAAGAACCATTTAAAGCATTACGGCCTTTATATTTGATTAATTTAAAATCAAATAATTTTATACGTTCCTTATTGTAATCGGAATGAAAGGAAGTTATATCGATAGTGAAAGAACGCTAGATTTTTAGTGATAATGAAAAAAGCGACAATACTTATAAAAATTTTATGGATTTTTTTTTAATATTTTTAATTACCTTACTAGCTGATATTACTAGTTTTACATTTTGCGTTAGTAATATTGTTAAAATTTGAAAAATGTAAATCCAAATTTTCATTTTTTGTTAATTACAAAATATTTGTTATTTTCTATATTTGTTGGGATTTTTTCGTTAGAGCTTGTTAAGTCAGTAGTGAGTATAATTTTGACTAATCATATTTTTTTTATTTATTTGATTTCAATGTTTAAATTTAGTTTATTATAATAGTTTTATAATTATATATCGATTATCTTGATTAACCATAACATCATTAAAATTGGCTAAAAGCTATTTTAAGAAGATGGCAATAAGTGAGAATATATCATAAGATACCCTACATTTATTGCCATTTTATGTTGTTTTCGAATGCAACAGGGTCTTTGGTTTAATATGTGCTAAATTACTTTAAATTAGGTTTCATAACTTTTTTCCAAATTTTATTATGAAGCGTTACATATATGAACATTTCCGAAATTGTGAAAAATACTTGGTTTAAAGTAGACTCAGGAAGTCACTATTACCATATTAATACTTATTTGAGTGTATAAAACATTCGTAGGACGATTATAACGAAACTATTTAAAAAGTGATTATGTATGGTACCCACACACTATAGTAGAGAAGGCATTATACGTATATGATGATGTTTGTAACGCTTAGAAATATTGGTCCTATACAGTCTGTCGTTCCATCCGTCTTTCCTTCGTCCGTCCATGGTAATCTTGTGATCGCAATACTGGCCGCAATCTTGAAGACAATTCGATAAAATTTGGCATGTACCATACATTTGGCCCAATAACGAACCCTATTGGCTTCTTTATTTCACCAAGCTTCCATACAATCGTATACCCCGAATTGGTCTTAGGCTAATAAAACCTAAATAATACTGTAAATTTACTTAATGATCGGTTCTCATTTGACCCTAGCCCCCAGAGAAAGACTGCTTCAGAATATAATTTGAACGTTTGTTATTCACTTATACACATTAGTATCACGATGAAGTTCTGTATACAAACATCTATACAAAATTGTATAAGAATACTTCAAGACTGAGCTTTTCGACAAGTGTTCTTGCTATTGTATTCAATTATATGAACGATATATTCGATATACGTATAATGAGAACATAGGGCCTACAGTAATAATAAATACTTTTTACGTACAAGTGCACTAAATTTAAGGTAAGTGGAATATACAATTGTAAAATAGCATTATTTTGACATTCAATAATTTATCATTATCAAAACAATTAAACTTTATAATACGCTAAGTTGTTATAAAATTAGTTAATATATAAAAAGTTTAAAAAATGTACAAAGTTTACTAAGTAATATTAAACAATAAAAATAATAAAATTTAATAAGGTATTTTTTACAAAATACAAGGTCTCAGTAGAAAACCAGTACGTATGATTATTATAAAATTACTCATACGCCCCCTAATCAATCCTTCAAAAAAAAAAAAATTGAAAATATTTGTTATTTTTAACCAAGAAATAATCTTCATTAAAAACAAATAAGAAAGTATAGTCGGGCGTGGCCGACCATATGATACCCTACAGCAGGTATGAATATAAAATGTGATTAATTTTTAATAATAAAGCATTTATCTTGAATATTACCTTTATTCCGATTTATTTAAACAATTTATTGAAGAAACATAAATTTTCTGAAAGAGGCTTTATATGGGGGATAGGAGCAAATATGGACCGATCCTTTAATCAAGATAAAATTATATTTTACTTAATTATGAGCTCAAAAGCACTTTTTGGAGGATTCTATAGTATGGGGGCTAGGTGAAATAATTAAACGATTTTAACCATTTTCATTAGGCTTCGTCCTAGGGCTAAAAGAAACGTATATGCCAAATTTCACCAAATTATCTTGAAAATTGCGACTTTAATAACAACAATTTTAGTGCGTTACAAACATCAGCACATCAGGGTATAATAATTATGCAAAAATTCTAAATTTTGTCTTATTAAAACTGAATGAAATAAAATTAAATATGCATAAAAATAATAAATATTTCTTTATATTTATTTTTGCAATTCCCAGTAAGTTTTTTTATTTCTTTTCATTTTACTATTTTATTTATTTCATTTTATTTAGTTTATTTATTGTACTGTATGCAGCAAATTGTAAAATTTAAATAAAGTGTAAATTTTTTTGTACAAATTTACATAGTGTATGAAACTATAAAACAAAATATTTTTTTTTTAAATTAAAATAAAAATACCATGTTATGTCTGAAATGTTAGAGGAGAAAAAAAATAATAAAACAAATAACCATAACCTAATAAAGTTACTGCAATTTATTTATTTACTTGTGTTACATTTATTAAAATGTATGTTTTATTGAAAAATAAAATGGGACAAGCGTGGTAGAAAAAATTTAAGTTAAAATACAAATAGCTGATTTTAGTGGATGTAATAATTTCCAGAATTTTATGAAAATATGGATATTGGTTGATCGGTTACTGATTACTCTGCTCAAGGTGTGCCTTTCTTTGTAAGAAGGTATTAAAAAGTGAATGTTATTAATTAAATATGTTCATATTGAATAAATGGGACGTTAGTTTCAAAACTCCAGTTTTAAACTTTAAACAATTTTGTTAAGCAAATTTTAAAATTTTCATGTGACTTATGGACAATAAATACGGAAATAAAATAGTAAAGAAATAGGTCGATATCTCTCACGGATTAGGGGTACCTATGATTTTAATTTTGGGAATTTCGGAGAAAACAATATTTTGTTAAATTTTTTTAAAAAACAGGCTTTATTCTTTACGCTTATGCATTTTATATA